CCCTCTGCATCTTCGGGCCGAGTAAGATCGATGACGCCTGGGCCCAGCTTCCCATCTTCACCTGACTTCCCTGTTAACTGGGGTCCCAAGTTCTCAAAACGTGTTCTTTCCTAGGAGAGAGAATACGCAGAGGCTTACCCTAGGTTCACAGCAGCCGCTGGCTTCCTTCCCGTTTCAATTTTGCTTAATTGGCAAAGCATGGCCTTCTGAACATGTCTGACCCACTCTAGAGACTGACTGCTGCAGGCTGAGCATGTCACTGACAAAACCAGCAGTGTCTAAAAGGCCAAACCTGCAAGGAAGGGGAGGCCATGACAGGGACCTGCCAGCACTGCTCTGCCTGGTCGGTCCCTATGTGTCAGGTTTGCTTCTGGAATTTACACAAGGAATGCAACGGAGAGAGAGGGACCAGATGTGCAAAAACTGAAGACTGTCCTTACTAAAGCCTGTTGCTAAACTGAATGAGAGAACAACCTTCCCAGTTAGAGATCAGGCTTTTGGTCAGTATTTCTGAGAAAAGTACAGGGTAGAACTTTCTGTGCCAGCATTCCAAAGGCAAACGTGTCAACCATGGTGGGGTGGACATCAACATTGCTCTTTTCTTGGACCAAGTCTTTCAACTGTGAGTTCCTGGGAACTGAAGTGTGTATGACTCTCACCCTGTAAAGAAGCCAGAACGGTTCAATACCCCTGCTGTTTTAGAAAGGAACCCCAAAGGTGTTTGCTTATTTGCCAGTTCTTCTAAGAGCAGGAGTCTGAGGCAACACGATGGAATGAGCCCTGTGCCTCTCAGATCAGTGGCAAGGGCTCACTGGCCATTGTTAATATGGTGGTATGATCTGCATAAACCCAGCACTGGTACCCTATGCTCACTTCCCATCTCCATGCTTAGTCTCCAGACTCACACTTGGCTTTGTGTTATCCTTATGAATGAATGAAGCCTTGTTGTTCGTTACTATGAAACGATATTAAATGTCATGTCAGCTTGAATGTACAGACGTGAAATAGCAGCTTGCAGCTCCGGGAATGGTTTCTGCATGTTATACTAATGCATTATGCAGCAGTAGAGTGCTGATTGCTGCACAGTCTATTGTTCAATGACCTAGTTCTGCACCAAGCATGTTCGGCATCTGATGGAAACACGCCGAGCATTCTGTTCTGTAAAATGTTTAGAAACTTGGAAATATTCGGAAGGAGCAAACATACAATTACTTGATAGAGGATGTGCCTCATTTGTACAGCCTCACTGCGTTTGTGCTTTCTAATACGATTATTTTTGAATATCATTATATTTCTATAATTAATTCCCATCAGTCAAATTGTTGCAGTAAATCTTCCAGTTCCCCTTCATCAGAGACCACGTTGAAATCTTCATTGGAAGAAAACACAGCATAAGATGTGCTTTTTAATCTAGCACTGCCTCTAGGAAAGCTTTGCAACAAAACCCAATTATCTAGTCATCATTGCTCCAACTAGGTAACACTAACTAACTAGTTTCAACAGCAGAGTGTAGAGAAACCTCTGTAATAGAACACATATAAAAGACAGACTGATAATCAAAACTGAAGTGAATGTGGCTCCTAATACCCCCTCGTGTGAAAACACGGCTGCACGGGAACAAATTAACCCAGATGCAGCACAGAACACAAAGCCACCACTGCCATGAACTGTGTGGGAGCTTCACACGTGGTCAGGGAAGGACAGCTGCTTTCTATCAGCCCAGTTCTATTTTTGAGTAGCACTTCGGGGTGTGGTGATGGAAAGAGAGTCAAAGTGAAGCACACTGGAAAGCCATGTCCAACCTTTGTTTCTGGTACTGTTTCTCTGGCATATTTGCATGCGAATGCCTCTGTTATAGGCCAAGAGTCCTTCTCTCTCCTTGGAAGAACAACCTTTCACTGCATTTTCAGGGCACGTGGGGGCGGAACAACTTTCTCTGAAAGACAACACTACGCAACCTATCAATATGCATATTCCAAAGATCTTTCTAGTCATTCATTCTCTTTGATTTTACTGAAAAATATTCTCAGTTAAAAAAAGAGTTCCTGAAAGAATATCAGTATTTTTTACAGGGAAGGAGAAGAGGAAAGATTACATGCCATGCTTTGTAAGAACTCCAAGACAACAAAGCTTACATGATGATAATATTTTTTTCTTTTCTAAAAGTGAAGTGCACTCACAATGCAGCAGTATCAGCTTGTTTTTAATCATAACAAAAAACATCAGGATGATCCACAACACATTCACAGTGTCTTTGAAGTCAGACAATTTTTCTGACTTCATTGAAAAAAAAAAAGATTCTTCTGGAAAGACACTTCCCCTGTAAAATATCAATATTTTGACAGCACAGGAGACAAGGAAGAGCATCCTATGAAATACTGGTTAAATAGGCAGAAAATAAATCAATGATAAAAAGTGTTGGGGACAGTGGGTTGCGTTTTCAATTTGATAATATTAAGCACTGTGTTTGAGATTAAAGCAGGACCCTGCAAAGCCAAGCCCTTTCATATAAATTTCCACCCAGTCTCCCAGAAGATTTCCTTCTTTTCTTCAAAGAATAGCTCAGAATATTTATTTGCCAGCCACAGAACCCTAAGACAGGAAGGCATGGGTGTCTACAAGTTAGGTCTGTGCAGCTGAGCTAGACACAGCTTTACCAGTGCAGTGGACATGAGCCTCATAAACACAGGACATGAATATGGGCACAGATAAAGTATGGAGATGCTTCAGTGTAAGGAGCTGAGTTAAACACCAATGGGTTTGTTACTGCAAGGAACATAGAGAGTGGAGAGAATGTCCTTAGGTCCCAAATAACCCATCCCCATCCCTTGAACTATCCCTCCCAATGTACACAGCTCCCAAGCAGGGTGACTTAGAGATAAGAGCAAAATTCCTCCGTGTGAACTTGACCCTGCCCTACTCTTGCAGTCTTCCCTGGTTTTCATGTTGATAGTGGAATGCACGTTCTCATTGCTGCCCCAATGACAGACTCTCACTTATGCATTGTCAGTCACAAACATGCAGGCAACATGAAAGTTACTGGAAAAAAATTAAAAGTCAGCTCTGCCGTGTTGTAGGGACTGTTGGCTCTCTAAGTGCTTTGAAATTATGATGTATGAGGTAGATGTTGCATATTAAATAAAGATATTTAAATGATAAAGCCCCCGTTAGTGAGAGCTGATGAATGTTAAATGTTACAAGCCACAAGACGGTAGTATCCATCATCTCCATGTGTTATCGGAATCAATGAAAGGGTGGGCTCACTGCTGACAGACAGACTCCGATTATTATCCCTTATTTCCAGAGCCAGTGAACAAACCACTCAGATCCTCCGGCATTATTTTTAACTTTGCATTAAATTAGCAACTTTCCCCTCCCTACCGTGGCAAGATTGATCAGTTACATCTTGGTACCACTGGAGAGAAAATGAATTTGGGGGTAAATAAAAGACCAGGGGTTTGTTCTCATTTAAGCAAGGAAATCAGCTGCCTCTTCCCAGCAACAAATGTGAAACTGTGATCTGGGGAAGGAACAGTGATGAAACAGTAAGCACACAATAATGGCTTTTCTTTGCACTTAGATAAAAGCTGAATTTTTGATGTGCACGGTATATTTTAATAAAATTTTATATACTGTGTTTTATACACTTATTGGCTATTCCATAATAATGTGTGTGCTCACAGTAAAATTGCTCTTAAATTTATGTGTGTTATTTATACGTTCTCACGTAACAATGCTTTTTGTTGTAAAAAATATTCTGTTTATTAATGTAACTTTACAACCACTGCATCCAAGATCCGTGGTAAATTAATGACATTTTTATTATTTTATAGTGTCATTAAATTTTTACTGATCACTCCATCAAACAGAGGCAGTAAAGGCCATAATGTAAACTGGGACACTTAGATCAGGCAGCAGGAAGACATTCCATGGAGTCTGAAGAAAACTGCTGGCAATAAATGATATTTATACTATCTTTAAGCATGTGAGACTACTTGGATAAGTTTGGCAAAACCGTTTCAGTAGTAGAGTGGATGGTGTACTTAAATAACAGTTTGCTTGCCAGTGAGACAAGCCACTTTCAAACCATATGCAAGATGACGGATTGTAGCCGTCTCCAGAAAACTAACACACGAAATGTAATTCTGTTCCTCACTTTCCCTCTGGGTCACTGAGGGTAGCCAGCCTGTACTATGCCTCAAGTCCTCTCAAGGTGGTCCCATTACTACAGCTGGAAGAGGAAAGTGGCACATGCTAGAGGAGTCTTTGTTTGTTCCTTTACAATGGACATATTCCATTCTAGACCTGTCTAGATAATGGTACCATGTACTTTACTCTTGTGGTCTAAAAGAGAGGCACTTTACAACCTTTATTCAAAAGCCCCTTTGTACAGATTGTCTGAGTGTGGTGTCATTCATAGCAGCCACAAAGCAAACAGCTGGGCAGAGGGAGGGTTAACCTATATTGTAGTTTAAAAAGGTGAAAATTATCTTGGGTTATTTTACACGTAAAATACATTATAATTGGGATGTGCTCAACACCAACTTTCTTAAATAAACTTAAATGTGTGTTATTAACTAATTGCCAAATATTCTATTTATGTATATATGAGGTAGTAAATAGAAAATTCTGTGCCCATATAATTGTGAAATTAGTAGCACCAATCTCTCACGTGGGGAATCTGACATGATTCTTTTTTATGTAAATAAGAATTTTGTTGTTACACAGCCAAATGAGCATTTAAATATTTAAAACATTTTAAAACCTTTCAGATTTGTAATAAAGGTTAACATCCCAGCTCATCAATCACGTGTTTGTGCCTTCCCAAAGCACAGGTATTGCAGAATTCTGAAATACTGTCTACCCTTGAAGTTCCAGCTATATCTAATTATTGAGCACTGCCTGGATGAAGTCTTTTTATCTTCATACCAGCTCTAAGCTTCAGTCTTTTCAATCTTTTCTGGATATTTGATTTCACTTCTATATTGGACTGGTTCTTCAGTCCAGGAGAACACTGTCCTAAAATAAATAGAACAACCGCCCTTTACCCATTGGAGCAGCACCAATTGACTAATAGTTCTTGTCTCACTTCCTTCCTTCCCCTTGTCTA